AGATTCAAGTGGGAAATTTTCGACCATCCACCCTACAGTCTGGACTTGGCTCCTTCAGATTTTCATCTGTTTACAAAACTCAAGGACTTCGTGGCAGGGACAAAGTTTCAAAATGACGAAGAACTGAAAGAACACGTGACTGCGTATCTCAATGCACTGGCGGCGGAAGCATATGACACTGGTATACAAAAACTCGTGACACGATACGACAAATGCTTAAATTTGTTCGGAGATTATGTAGAGAAGTAGTGTAATACATGTTCTTTCCAATAAACATTTTTACATTTGTTAATATTTACTTCCTTTGTTCAATTCCCAAACGGGTACTACTTTCCGGATGACCCTCGTATTATGCATTCTTCATAGAGATAATTAAGTCGGTGAAAAGTATAAGGGAATTGCCTCTTCGTTAGAGTGGTTAAGTTTTCAACTGATTTTTAGCAAACAATATCTGGAAGAAAGAGGTTGGCGCTAACCATCCCATTGACTCGACAAATTTGTCATCGAATCGGTAAAATTCATGTAAATGTTTGAAATTGGCATACAAAACATTTCTAGGATTTCGCTCATTATGGTGGAATAATGTGGAATGGTGGAATTATGATGGCAGAAATTTAAAGATTGCTTTGTAGTTCCGTTCGGTACCTGACGACGAGCTGAAGAATTTCAAACCCCAAGACAAGCAACGATTGAGAGGAAGGACGATACACAAGCAGAACTAAAGTTCTTTGTGCTTAGAGTAACACATACATTATAATTATTACGTACATGTATAATATACCATGCAATAAGAAGTTCTTATATTGCGTATCAAAATATCTTTGCATCATTGTATGATTTAAACTGCCACAGCTGCATGCAGCTGAATATGTATGCAGCAGCCCACAGCTTTGCAACACTAGATGATTCGTTTTATTTCGCACATCCATCATTGGTATTCCCTTTGAATGTTGATGATGGAGCAGCATTCAGTGGAGCAGCCATAACTCACTTGAGAGGCCATAAGAGTCTTCGTTTCTTCAGAAAAATAGTTGAAATTGCACGGTTGTGATTGTGCGTTCAGCCCGTTCCTAGCAATTTTCTTTCCACTTTTGTGTAAAGCTGCCATTGAAGCTCACGTTAAAAAATTGTTTCAATGGTTTCGTTCATTTATCATACCAAAGATATCATTCATATTTCGGTCAAAGGATTCTTCAAACTCACCCAAATGTCCATCATCCAAACCTGGCAAGTTCGTTGCCTCTGTGTTAACAATTATTGTGAACATTGACTCTTGAAAAGCGTCATAACAATCCATCTCTCTGCAGCAAAAAACTTGTACGCTTCGAAAACCTTCTGTTGCATGTAGTTTTAGGAGATGATATTCTGATATTCTTTCCCAAGTAACGCAGGATTGTCCTTAGCGTTCAGAGGTACTCAACAAGGTAAAGCCTATACACATTGGGAACGCCGATATTTCTCTTATCATCTTTTGCTGGCGTATTTATGTGATTTTTGAAAAACTTTGATGCGACGTTCAAACTTACGTGTGAAGTAGGTTAAAATTCAAAATAATTCATATATCTTTTATGTTATTATCAGTAATTTTTTTATATGAGAGGAGTTTCGTAAGGTGAATAATTGAGCTCGAACATTGAAATAAAAAGTGTTTAAAATATCTACGTTAATATTGTTTTAAATTCATTTATCAATACAGATAATCAAGCAGCTACTAGACACAGAATTTTTAATTTTCTCTAGTCAAGAATAATACCAAATTTTCTAAAATTACATGCCTATGACTGCGGAAGTCATGACGAACCAAGAATGACAATCAAAACAGTATATTTTATTTGTAAGATGCCACTATCCCTTACTTCGCACCAGAACCAGATCCAAAACGTGTTTGAAACCGAAATTCAGCAATGACCCCCTGGTATCCACTAGCCTGCAATCACCAGTAATCTGGTATCCACTAGCCTGCAATCACCAGTAATCTGGTATCCACTAGCCTGCAATCACCAGTAATCGTATCAATTATAGATTAAAAATTGATGTGTAATGCAACCTGCACCGCCCGCCCCGTGTACGGTGAATGCCCACCCTCAAATAATATCACATCGAGTTGCTGGATATTTTTTTAATCACTGCTACGTGAGTAGGGTTGGGTAGAAATTTTGAGTCGAGATCGATGTTTCTTGCACATCGTAATCCGCTCCATTGACTTATATTAAATCAAATCGAAGACGAAGTACTTCATTGCGAGTATTTACATCTGTTGTCCGACATCCGAAATGACTTTTAAATGGATTTTAAGTTAAGAAAATTATTAAAAATTCAAATTTATCTTCAAATCTTACATAAGTTTAATTTTAAATCAACTAAGACACGTCTGTGACTGTAAACTGACGACGCTTTTTCATTTGATGTAAAATTAATTGCATTGGAATTTTTTGTTATAATTTTCACATCCAGCTTGGTGCGACTTTGACGACGTCCACCACATCAATGCATGTAGCCTCAAAAAAGAATCCTTAACTAATATTTTAACAAATTTACGCTGTTCAGAGAGTTGATTTGTCTCCAATAATTCTCCTAGACGTTTCATCGCATATATCCATCCTCCCGACGCACACATGGCCATATGTAATCAATTTGTTTTGAAATGTTTCTAATTTTTACGTTCCTCCATAAATAATAATTGGTAGATTTCAGAGCGAATATTATAACTGGTTTTCGTGAAAAATCCTAGTCAAATAAATGAGCTCAAAAAAGCTACAATAAATCTATATTGAACTCGAATTTTTTATATAGTGGATAGGCATAAATAGCGCTCTGCCAAACTCTCACTCCCAGCACGAGAAAGCGATACTAGATTTGCAGTGCTTATAAAATGCGATTGTTTGATTTTTATTTAAACGCCTTTTTGTATTCTTGTTACGCCATTCCGGTTCTCATTAAATTTTATTATATATGTTACGATCTTAAAAAATTAAAAGAAGCATCAGAAATTTATTTAATTCCTATGGCACAAGCCAGTGGGATTAGAATCTTTCCCGGTCACATCATTACTATAATTAACACTTCTAGTCGCATCACCATTATAGTGGAAAGATTTGCTTAACTCATATAACACGCATATAGTAAATCCTCACCTTGTAATTGGCATAGCTATCGGTTTGATCGTGGAAATACCCAGTACAATCACGACGTAGTAAAAGATTCGTTTACAATTCTATTGACATTATAAGTCTATTTTCAATATCGACCACACGTCGCTTATCAGTTCATCAAGCATCTGATAAAACCATTTTTTAGTCCCTACCATCTTCCCTCATGGTTCTGTAGATATGATCACAATTTTTCAATAATATTTCAGAACAGAGTTATCGATTGTCTTCATTTTTCATTTGTTCATTAAAATTGGGTTTTGCCACGCAATTCGAGACCTTCTGGTTTACGTCGACTTTCGATGTGTTTGTTGTCGATAAAAAACAGGAAGTGACTGATTAACAGAAGGAAGTTACTGACTCCTAACAAATGCACATATAGCACGCCTATATTTGATTTAGCAGCTTCTCACAAGTCTACTATGAACGCCATGTTATACATCTTAAATACGTAACGATTTCATTAACGAGCTATATAATGTTACAGTTTAATTTAGCTCGACAGATTCCTTAATTCAGTTTACTGAATCGTGTATACGGACTGACGAAACTCACGACTGACTGACGTCAGTCCGAGTACTTACTGACGAAACTCACCGAGTGATATACGGCGAAAAAGAGACTGGCGATACAGCGGCAACTAAATGCCCGAATCTATCACCAGAGTCTATGGTGACTCACGCACCTCCTTTACTGTCAACATTATCACCCCATTATTTTTGAAATACCTAAAAGTAATTATAAAGAGGTAAAAATAAAAATAGGTGAAACGCATGTTAATAAAGAGGGTGCGCACCATTTTTTCCAACAGTGCCTACATATATAAATAATTTATACAGGAAACACCACACCCTCATCACCTTTTCCCCCGTGTAGATCATCCAAAGGCCTGCCAGATTACGCCTCCCTCCCAACCACTACCAAACTCCACACACATGAAAAGTCTACTGATGCGTTATGCGCCTTTTCATCTCCTACTGTGTTTCCATTTCTCCTTCCTCATTCTAGCCTTTCTGTTCCATTTCCATGCATTCATAGTGACACCACAACAACAACAATAACAAACAACAACAAACAACAACAACAAACAATAACAGCAATTAACAAGCGGTAGTTCCATCTCTACTGATGCGCTCTACAAAGACTTAAATATTTGTTCAATTGCCAGTAACGCATGAAGATGGAATAGATCGCGAAATGACTAGCCTCATCCGAATTTTCCTCAAGGTTTGATGTTTTAACTAGTTAGAAAACAGCAATTATTCAGGCAATGATGGTTCAAACGTCGAATTTAACGAGAATTTGCATGCTGTCGCTTTTATTTCTTTTATTTGGCCATTACACTGACTGCCTCTTATGAAATTTTATTTAAAAAAAAGGACGACGACTAGACTCGCATAGTAATGTAGACTCCAATTATTTTACCTCGTGTAATGTGAGGTACGAGCAGACAGGCTACGATGTTTTTACAGCCGACATTGCTAATAAAATTACGAAGTCTCACGTACATCTCGGTCAATACGTGCTCACTGCCCTAACAAAAGCTTCTGCTGGGTATCTGTACGAAGGTGCTCAGAAACTGTGGACAAGTGTTGGACAATCTAAGCACATCTTCCGTCGTCGTATAGTGTCAATAAAAAGCGGAAAAAGAAACCTCGACATTATTTTCGACATTTACTTCAGGCGTCAAGTTCCTGGTAAAATTGCAACATTTCCACATAATAGTTTCTGCTTAAACGTATTAACAGTGCATATGAATTATAGTAACGCTGTCAATATGCAATATATGAATGTGGCAAAAGTTATGTTTTAAGCAGGAAAACTTGTAGCTCGTTCTCATCATGTTCAAGTACATTTACTTCAGGCGTCAAGTTCCTGGTAAAATTGCAACATTTCCACATAATAGTTTCTGCTTAAACGTATCAACAGTGCATATGAATTATAGTAACGCTGTCAATATTCAATATATGAATGTGGCGAAAATTATGTTTTAAGCAGGAAAACTTGTAGCTCGTTCTCATCATGTTCAAGTACAATGGAAGTGAATTAATGAATGCCTCACAATACAATGCAAGGTTGCAAGCCGAAATTTTTTTCAATAAAATAGAAGGTTATTTTCGTTAATCCTTGATTAAGATAAGTTTTTTGTTATCTGTACTCATTTCATCATTTATTGTGCAGCTTATTTCACTACGCTCAAAGTGCGCACATTTGCCAATTGTTTCACAGATCATCAATGTTTTATCGTCAAGTCGCTTGCTCAACAAAACAACTATAACGACGTACAATCGAGAAAGTTTTTCAGCGGAATTACAACGAAGATATTGAGATGAACATCGAGTGCAGGCCACTGCCGACTTTTCTTTATTCATGAGTTGGTGGATATGCGGAGTAAACTTTTCATCTCATGCGATACATTTAATTAGAGTGCATAAAACATCTATTTAAATATGAATTAGCTGTAGAATGTTACGTTACGATAGACAAGTGAAGTACATTTCGATAATAATTCAGTACGAATTGTAAAAATTGGGGCCCAAGATAACGTTTTGTGTTGATGTTTGTTTATAAAGATAATTTATAAACTGTTGTTAGTGATATTGTTCAAACTGAATTTGATATACCTACGCCTTTACAGAGTATTATCACATGTAACAATGTGTCATAGAACAACGTGTCATATTTCCTGAACAAAAACTTCAATGCATCAAAAATGTATTTGTATCTGAGGAGGGTTTACTACAAGGCAGATCGACAATACTCAGGTAGCATTAAAGTAAACCAATAATAGCCTAATGTTCCTCTCAAGCCATAAACTCTGATAAATATCAACATTTGTCAACAATTGGATGCTAAAATTAGGCAAAATTACATTGAATGTGTCACATTTTTATAATTTGATTCTAACAAGTTATTCTTAACTTCTGGGAATGCTTTAGGAGAGCAAGAATTTCTAACACTCATGAAACAATGATTTTCAAGTGCTTGAAAACTTGGAAAATTACAACTAATTTAGTACCGACAACTGTCATCATAGAATTTATATTAAGTCTTGTTCTGTTGAAATGACATGATAGATCCAGGCTACACTAATTGTGAGTCTAACAATGATCTGTTAGAAAAAGTCAAGTAAAACGAATTATCTTGATTTTCCTATGGCTGAAAACACCGTGCCAATGTTAATCATCTGCCATTTATGGGTAACACATTAAGACTTATGATGATCAAATGTCCTTCCAAGAGAACTTTGGATAAATTCTGCCAGCATTTCATAAATTATGTCTATAATATTACCATATGTTATGCCTTGTCCTGCTTTTTTTCCTATTGTATTTATCGAGGGGAAATTTTCAAAATCAAAACAGATCACCATTTCAATTTCAATTGCAATTCTCTTTGTTGTCGTTTCAAAGTAACAAAAATTAATTTGCATCGTTTTTTGTCTCCTAATCCCTCATATTTAAGAAAATTTCAAATGCTCATTTGAAGAATCTTTCAATCCCATGAATCCCAAGCAGTAAACAGTGGTTTGAAATGACAGTGGTCTAGTTGTTACAGTTATATGTAAGCATTCACTTCACTATTCTGGTGATACTTCAAACTGCAACGAGACTTTCTACCGAAGTGGAGACGTGAAGAACGTTTTTATTTCCTGATGTATCCACGATATCGAGACGTCAGCCGCTTCTCTCCGCGCGTCAGTTCAGTCATCGGATGTACCTGGTGTATGACAATTTTTTGATAGTAATTTTCCTTATTTAGCTTATGCAAATATTTTTCCTACCGAAGTACTTTATGTGCGAGTTCAAACATACTTTTATTGTGGTCTTAATGCTTTCACTGAACAGAAGGTTGAATATGTGTACACTGTACAGTCAAAACATAATTGAATATGGAACCAAAAAGGTCTAAAATGCAATAAATGTCCTTAAAAATTATTTAATTTCTGGGATATGTGAGAATATATTCCAATTCTTTTACATTTTCGTTTGAAAAGCGTTTAATTTTCTGCTATAGATGTGAGTAAATGAGTCAATGAACTGCGATATGCTTTTGTTGCAGTTTATATTCGGCGCCAGCTCTTCAGAGTCGAAAAACAAAATGCAGGGTGAGAACCATTACCTTAAAAAGGTATGTAGAAATTTATAAAAAATTTAGTTCAGCTAAAGCTGCTGAGTAGGAAGTCAACAATTTAAAAAAGGAAAGTAGAAGCATTTCCTTTCAAGTTAACGTAGGCCAGAAAAAAAAATAACTGAGTTGAAGTTTGGGTAAAAATTAAAAGATTTACTTTACAACAGGTCGTTCGAAAAGATTAAAGCTAACAATAATACAAAAACTCATCATATCAACAAAGCGGTGAAATAGTCACGCAAGAATGTCTAACTTAGATTCATCAGATTTAAAATCACATGCTAAATTAACAAAAAATAAGGAAAAATGTAAATCATTTGACACACAACTTTGATGAAGTAGTAAAATAAAAATATTCACTGAATTCGACTAGAAATTACTAATAAATCTGAAATAATTCGAAATATCGTACGTAAAAATTTTAAATGGAAATGTAGAAGAACATGCCAGGACCACAAAATTCGTCTATTAAGAGCTGCTAAGAAAGGGAAACGTAAGCCTAACTCACACACAAGGAGAGCAGAAGAGCGTTAAGCAGAGCGCTGGTTTAGCGCGTGGGTGCGGCAGACTTTACCTGGTCTGACGAGACCCGACCCAGGCAAATGAGCGCGTCTTTATAATACGAGCACACCTGTAATGACACGTTAATTGTAAATAAGCTTTTCAATGATTTGGAATATGAAAAATAAATGTTACAGTTTGATTTTACGACGCAGAAATTTCGATTGGGAATTTATCAAGTAGGAATGAAATTCTTAAGAGTCAAAATTTATATGCAAAGGAATAATAAACAACAGACTTTAACCGAAAGGAGTTGAAACGATTCCCTAATTCGAATAGACTGAATTTAATACGGAAGATCGCCATAACACACATTTATTTAATCTAAAATTCGACTCGACAAACAATGCGTAATGTTTTTCTTAACATGATTCTTCTTTAAACATCAAACGTAAATTTGAATGTAAATTATATTCAGTAAATTGACCTGGCGAGGCGCCTTCCGGTGACGCCGGATGAGCTGGCAGCACAGGCCGCGTGCTCCGTCGCACTCGGCGCTGGTGTTACAGTCTTCGCCTGCGCGTGTGAGTTTCTTGTGAATTAATATCATATATATTGTTTTCTCACATCATTGAAGATACAAAAAGATAATCATTCAGCCAGTGTACAGTGTCCATCGGTATATAAATTTTTAAGCAAAAAATCGAATTTTGGCCTTGAATCAAAACTCCACTAAATTGATTACGTTGGTAGTTAGGTGGTTGTAGGAAGCAACGAGATGGTAGATTGAGTGCGTTTCATAAGATTTCATATATGTATATTGAAAATGATTAAAACTGAGTCGAACCACTCTACTTGCATGTGCAATAAGTTTTAAAACCAATTTGATAATTACGAGCTATGGAAGATAATATATTGCAAATAATATCCGGGTAGTATAGAAAGCTCGAGCAAACCATAGTTTTTCTTGGTGCCGAGGTCGGTGCAGACGCCGAGGTCGCACGAGAGACCTTCAGCGCACTCGACGTCAGAGACGCACTCGTCGTCAAGACGTTGAGATGACGTAGCCATGCAGGTGCCCGCTAATAGGTAGGATACAAAATAACAAATTAGCCGCCATTTCAAATAATAGTCTCTGTATTTTATGCCGTTTCTATTTATGTATTAGCCATAACTCTGATATTAGACGCTGGATAGCTGTGCATGTTTTAATTTAGAATGGTCTAATATCGATGGTGATCGAAGATCATCAGTACACGCAACGGAAAAATGCATTACCGAAAATTTTTTCTTCAGAATACCTATGCTAATGATCTCTAGATGAGATGTATTTACACGTACTTTAATTTTGCAGCAACATATAAAGCGTGACAGGAATTTTCGATCAAATCCTCCCATAATGGGAAATTAGGCTTGTATTCGTGCAATTGAGAACATTTTTTCATTGGTCGTGTGCTTTTTGTAACTAATAGGTGAAAACGAGCTCGATTATCCGTAATCATTTTTCGTACATCTTTCTGAGGTCAGTCCTCATTGCCTGCACCTCGTAGCCCCAGAACTCATAATTCGTAAATCCCTTCTTCAATTTAGACCATAATGTTATTCCCCGTTAATACTTGCGCTAAATTATTTTGTAAAGTACTTCCCGTGAATACTATCGTACCCCGTGATAGCATACCCACCTACACTAAGTTACTAGCTGTATTCCTTGACAGTTTGCAGGCGTTAATAATTGGCCAACTTTGTATGTTGGCCAACATTAATACAAAGTTAAATTAATAATTGGCCAACATTAGCAAGCGTATGTGCACTCACTGCGTCCGGTTATGGCCATGCAGATATGGTCATTGCAGCAGTGCAGTTTGCAGACATTAATACTTGCCCAACTTGTGCATACATTAGAAAACGTATGTGCACTCACTGCGTCCAGTTATGGCCATGCAGATGTGGTCATTGCAGCAGTGCTCGTTGGCCGAGCACCGTCGCCCCTCACAGGACGCGGCCTCTGCCTCCCCCAGCAACGCCTCCAGCAGCTCCTCGCGCGGAGACGACACGCGCTGCAGGGAGTGGTGAGTTAGATGCCAGCTGGGCCATGCTTTCAAAACTCGATAAGTGAACGTAAGTACTTATGCTCTATTTTCTTGTCAATGATTGGTGGATTTTGCACGACAGGCCGTCACTGATTGGCTGATGAACTTGCTATCTCTTAACTTTTTTTGAAAGTATAGGGCCAGGCCCTATACTTTCAAAAAAAGTTAAGCGATGGTAAGTTCATCAGCTAATCAGTGACGACCTTTCATGCAAAATCCACCAATCATTGACAAGAAAATGGAGCGTAAGTACTTACGTTGACTTGAGTCAGGACCCGTACGTATTTTTAAACTTCGCTCTTGTGCACTTAGCGGCCGATTTACACGTATAGTGGCCAAGTTGGTTTAGCTTGATAAGCCGTCAGTGATTGGAAGATGGAGTAACCAACTCTTTAACTATGTATGATAATTAGGTCCCAGAGTTGGTATACGAGATAACGTTAGACATCGCTTGTCCGTTATTATACGACTGACAACGACTGCGTGAGACCGCTTATCCGAAGGATAAAGAGTGTGATTTTAAAGCAGGTCAACAATCGATTGCTCAAAAAATATTAAGTTGTCCATCATCTGGAATAACGCCGATAAAGTATGACAAAAGTTGATGTATCGCTGCTTTAAGATGGGAATATTTTGACGGATGTTTAAATGTAACATCTAAATTTCCATCACAACTTCTCTCGTTGGTAACAGCCAACTTTCTTATTTTGTGTATAATTTGAATAAATACCGTGTATTTTCTACGTTAGGAAAACTAATTTACTTTCAAAGAGCTGAAATTATGCACATATCTGCTTAATGGGCACACTTGAAACGTTCTAGTTTACTTTCATGTCCTTATTGCAAACGTTTTCAAAGTAGCCCAGAAAAAAAAAACTCATACGAAATGATTTTTCGCCGATCCTAATTATGCACTATTCAAAATACGTGAAACTTGTTTTTAGTAATGCCAATCAAATAATATTACGTATTAATATTACGGCGTTAACGCATCAATATTCGTTAATCCATGAATTTATAGCTGACGTTTTCACACTGAACTGCATCAGAGCCGGGCCATAGGCTGCCGGCTGTCATCTATCTTGTGATCAAAGCTGATCCGCAACTGCTGTTTGTTATTTCTCTCTATCATTTCGACCCGGTATAAATTTATGACGCATCATCTACAATCAAATCGCTAGCAATTTCAACTATTTTTACTTGCGTGAATGTTTTCTTGTTTCTTTAGCATTTCCTTTAGTTCTAATTTCTGTATAGATGTAACATTTTGGGCAACACTTCCCTGTTGTTGTGATTTCTGAGCACGCCCTTATTGCGTGCCGAGAATTGGTATTTTATTGTCGTGAGCTCGCATGAAGAGGTAAAGTTTCTCAAATTATTTGAGAAGCTCACGCTCAAACCTCACTTATTTGGTCGCACAATCTTCAGTTGTGCTCGGTGCATAATACTTAAAATGATAAGGTGGAACCTATTTGGCAGACTATCTGGCTAATCACCACATCGTTTAAAATTTTATCACCTCATTTTTACAATGGAAGCGTAAGTGCACCAATATAATTTATGAAATAAGCCGTTATCTGTTGCAATGGACACTTTACTTTTGAATAAGTCGATATTATTTTATGACCTCCAATTAGTTTTACACAACGCTTTGTAAATTAAGTGTGCTTATATTTTCATAGGAGAGAGCTTAAATGTTGGCTCGTGGGTCTTGAAATAAGCCTATGTTATTTATACATAGTTTCTTCCCGCTTTATCTCTAAAACAGAAGGCGTTGATTATTTATTTGTCATTCCTTTCCTATATTTTTGCTCTGCCACAACAATTACATTCCACAAAATTGGCGGCTTAGTGTAACAATAGGAAACTAATTTCCTCAGTTCCGATGGTGAAAGGTTATGATCAGAAGTCAGAATTATTTTTGACCCTCGGCCGACCTGAGGGAAGGCGTTGCGGTAGGCGTTCGTGTTGCCCCAGACGCCGTATCCAGGCTCGGGACGGAACCTGAAAATTTGTTCCAATACATAAAAATCTCATGTTATATATAAATTAGAGATAATTTATTGTAGGTAGCTCATACGCACAAACTAAATTGCTAGCAAACTAACAAACGTACTAAAAATAAATATTTGGGATATATTGAATTAATTTCTCTCAAACAACAGTGTTCGGGAGGCAAGATTATTAAGTTTTTTGTTATTTTAGCGGACCTATCAATTTTGTATTTTTACTTTACTGTTCAACCACCAAAGAAATCTCGTGATCTTTAAAGAAGACGAATCTCCACAAATATCCAGCAGCTTCTGACATTTCTGATTGATCAAAAACCGCTGAAGCCTTTCAAGCTCGACGCTCACAGAATTTGGCAAGAAAAATCTACGACAATCCCTTCTTTCAATAGCTCTCGTTGAGATCAATGGGAGCTATTTCGTTAGTCGAGAATACTAGAGACTTGAACTTTTTGCGTCACTTGCAAGTATTCATAAATAACTACATATTTTTAGCCCAAAATACTTGAATAGTTCATGTGCTGCTCTAAACTAAAAACTTTACTATTTGGTCAAGCTGTCAAAGAAATAAAAATAAAACTCAGTACTCACTGCCGTGAGTGACAGAGAGCGCATTTTCTCGTTGACGAAAACGCGAAGTCACGGACGGACAGACGGACGGACGGACATGGCCAGCACAATAGTGCATTTTTTCCATAAATGAGAAAATGCGCTAAAAATTAACGTGAGTGAATTCCAGTAAAATTATAACTTCAATAACGGTCAACTAATTAATGCTTGTGTCCAATGGACGGAGCAATTCGACGAAAAAAATTCCCTCCTTACCTCGACATGAGAAATACTCCTATAATATATTTTTCTAATGAATTCCAGTAAAATTATAACTTCAATAACGGTCAATTAATTAATGCTTGTGTCCAATGGACGGAGCAATTCGACGAAAAAAATTCCCTCCTTACCTCGACATGAGAAATACTCCTATAATATATTTTTCTATAACAATAACATTGAATTAGCAGCTAGATTTTCACGAAGATAAGTTTTTCGGTCACTTGATATTTGAAACATGCAGTACAGCGGTGAATGCTTTAAATCCTATCAAATATTAATAGCCGGTAATTTCGCTTCAAAATACGTTATAAATTTCCAAACAATAGCCAGTAAACCTTTCTCCAGTATTTTCTATACAAATGACTTATTTGCATTCTTAGATGACTTATTTGCTATCACTATTATTCAGGGATATTTGTTATCACTATTATTCATGATTCACTAACATCCTGAATCATGTTACCACATGAAATGAAAAATGAAAATAGATTAAAATCATGTTACCACATGATTCAGTTCCGAAAATATTTTCCCGGAACCTAGAAGGCAATTATTGCCACTTTACAGGAAAGTAATTTCTCCATCGTCTTATTAACAGAAAATGTTCTCCATCAGAAAGCAGAAGTGCACAAAAAGAATTCATGCAATGACGTACCGTGAAGATCTTGTCATGCCGGCACCACGGATGAGTTACGCGAAAAAAAAAATCAAGGAAAAATTCGTCGAAAATATAGAAGATCAACTGCCGTTGTAAATTCCTTGTTTTCGGAGAGCTCGTGTGGAGATTACAATGAAACTATAAACATGGTCATTAGACAGTGGCTGGCTGAATGACTGCTCGTTCCAGTTTACCTTTCTCTATTATAATGAGCCTGAAAATTAGGAATTCTAAAGCGAAGTCAGGTTTATTAAGATGTAATACAAGGTCGATCACTCCCACATTTATCATTAATACAATTCGGATTCGAGTAAAAATTGACATGCTAACCGTCCGAGTTTTGCGATTCATGACTTCTGCTCAATTTTAGTCTTTCTACATCCGACACATGCCCCTGATCGTTTACCGACATCAAAGGTTGCCTTCTGTCAATATAGTGACCTGTGATCACTGGCTGTATGACTGCTAATAGTACGTGTGAAAAAGCTCTGAAGTAGAAGAGGAAGTTTAAACATGGCTTTAGTTTTATGAAATGGAAAAGAATACTCAAAAACTTCGTAAATAACATCAATCAATTTCTGATGATTGTCTACTTCAGAAAGATTTGCTCGCAATGCATCTTTGTGGAACTTCAACCTAGCTTTTTTGAACTATATTGCACAATGATAAAATAATGATATCAAGAATTCTTTGTAAACATAACTAGTTTCGAGCCAAAATGAAATAGCGACAATTAAACCAAACGTAAGCCGGCTCTTTACGAGTAACTAACACGATAATTCCGAGAAAAAATCAATCACCCAAAATAGATTCATATTTAATACTGCTATCTTTCATTGCCGGCTATAATTTATCACTAAACATCATGTTTGAGATGTTACTAATCACTTGATAGTTTGTATACCTGCTGGTGATGTAACCGAATCCCCAGACGCTTGGCAGGGCAAGCCCCAGCACGGCCAGGAGGAGAAGGCCTGATCGCATCATCTCCTCTGTGAAAATGAAAATAAATTTTGTTTGAATTAATCTACCAATAATTTTTGAAATTTAATTAATAATTAGGCGGAAAAATCTCTATCAGTAAAGCCTGTAGTTTACACGGTAAAAATGCCAGTCGCCGAGTCTTGCCGGAAGAATTCAACATATTCAGAATAAAAAAAAAATATTTACATGTAAATATGAGTTTTCTCATTGCTATGTACTATGAAATGATATTTATGCGTTATGGTTATTTTTCTAAAAAGCGCACGTTTCAAGCGCCACATTTTTTCGGTTAAGTAAAAAACTCTTTTCTTATTGGAAGTAAATCTTAAGAAATCTACCAAATGTTTCTGCAATCATTTTTGAATGGAAATTATGTTATTAGGAAATCTTGAGAAACATTTTCTTTGGAACTCGAAGCAGAATTTAAGAAATTGGACTAGGGAATGTTTGCTCAGGGTGCAATTTTATGTCAAGCTGCAAAAACTCTTTCGTCGAAATTCACACTCTTAAATTATTCCGCACATTTACATTAATTTAAAAGATTGCCCTCTGAATATATTCCAGAATTTGGCGTAGTGTTGTTGCTACATGCTTGTAGATCTTTACTTAACGGTTAGTTGCCATGGAGCGTTGTTCACGTGCTATTTGTAGGTGTGTAGATGAGTTTTTAATTGGGATACAGCTGCGTTAAGACAATGTATATTCAACTGTTTTGCATATTAGAAGAAACTGATAATTTTCGACTTGTCAAAGAATTTTATATTGTGTACTAACAATCGGATTCACAGCTTCAGCATGACCAAAATACGATCTTGACACATCACAAAAATTCGCTTAAAAGAATTCACACTCCAGGACCGGTTTACTCTATATAAAGTTTACGATCTTCTGCAACAAGCCATTCTATGATACTTTTAGGGACTGCTTTTAAATATAATAATTTCATCGATAGTTCGGTTACGTGTTTTGTCATTTTGTTTTTGAGTGAACTCTTACGTCACCTCGTGTAGACCCGCCCTGTACCTTGTCATTGCTAAGTGATCCACCACAGAGGTTAGTACTTGCATTGTTTATCATGTGTTAATCTTCAGTCTTGATATAGTCGTGGCCTTTCTGGTGATATTGAATATTATTCTGGTTAATTTATTTATTTGTGTGCTTTATTCATTCGTTAGTGTTGTGATGATTCAAGTCCTTAATGTGTATTTATTCGTGCTGTTCAGCGGGGCTCCGAACCTAGGAAATGACTAGGAATTAATAGGCAAGGGCTCGAAAGACACACGGTTTATAGTTTTCGTAATTTGTTTTCTTGTATTTATCGTTCATTTATTATTATAGTTCTTTATTTTGTCATTTTTTATTCATCCTTTATTTGCGATCACTGGCCAAATGTTGGGGTCAAAGACCTATTTATTGATTAATTCCCAACAATACTAAACGAATTAAGTCAAAGTACTACACTGATATATTACATACGGATTTGCATTTCCATTCATTTATGATGTAGATTATTTCACAATTACTGCCTCAAGATTTTCAGCAAGCTTAAAAATATTGCTCGAGATCAAAGCAAGGGGCCTAAGAGATTTGAAATAAATCACGGGTGTAATTTAACGGATTCCATTACGGATGCTGACGAATGCATGTGATTTTTTTTCGAGCTTCGCGAGGAGTTATGCGTTTGTTGCGGATAACATTTGAATGATGTGATTTAAAAAAAAGCACTTACATAAAATGCTTCCGAATGAACTTCCCCGATACAAATCTAATTAGGTTGCCAAAAAAGATACAATTTGAATAACATAAATAAATAATTATATTACACCGCGGAAATTTATTTTGAAAAATAATGACCTCCATCAATATATATTTCATCCACAGTTGTATTACAACTTTTTCGGGAGCCGCCACAGTAGATTGCAACGCGAATAATAGTTCTGGTAAGTCGCAGCAAAAGCGTGGCCAGCACTTTACCGGCAATTATTTTCCAGCAGGCCATGAATGGGGCATATTTTGGGCAAAAAGCAATTGCCGTAAAACTCGTCCCATTCCGAACCAGCAACGGTTCCATGGAATGACCTCTCAAAATAAGGGTCTGATGAGACTACTTTTTTCCCATTCATGACTTCTTCAGCCATTCACGACTTGAGTCATTCATATATGCTATCTGAGAGCAATCTATGCTATATACTGAGAAATGGTCTGAATTAAATAGCGAATATTGGACACCTAAGTACATTTTTATTATGCTTGCATTATGTAGATCAATAACATTCGCTTTCAAATGTATTATTGTTCTAATATTTCGTAAAGACGATCAATTTGTTAGTTCGATGAAGTGGTTTCATATAATTTTTTTAATATTTGAAAAAAATTCAATTCAATTTAGCGTCCTCGCTAAATAATTCACGAAAGTAATGAATGTTTTTCTTGAGTTAGCCCCATCGTTTCACTTCATCGCGGGAGGTTAATGAAGCAATTCCAGGGAAAATTGCAACCTTGATCGACTTCGAAATTACAAAACTTCAATCCAGAGTTTGCATTTATCTTGCAGCACAATGTAGCTTGCCTCTATAACAGTAGGAGACATATTATTTCGTGTATTTAACATAATATGTATTATATATTTATGTTATAATATATTTTCCTTATTAAAAGCATTGTTTTATTCTATCTCGTATTTTTTTCTTACTACCCTATGTAAAGGGATTTTATTATATCGTATGTACGCACAATCTTACTTCATTTAAAGATTTTTACGCACTTTAAATATGTCATGTGTGTGATTGAAAAATTCTGATTGTATGTGTACAGATATATTCATACTAAATGAATATATGTCATCACGTGAATGCAAAATTAATTACAACTTCTTTTTCCTACTTTAAACATTAACGGTCAATGATGTACAAAGTGAAAGCAAGAAGCAAAATGTACAAATTTAAATGTACGCTAATCACTAAAATAGAGTCGGGACTTTGGGAAAATTAAAAATGCTTACATGTTTGTCTTCGGAAAACCAACGATGATTTGTTACATAAAAATTAAATATTTTAGATCATCACAATGACATATATTATATTTCTATTTTACATGCTTTCATTACCACAAACAGAAGTTGAAATTTGTCACGTAATACACTTTCGAGTTTAGTTTTGAAGATTACTCCGAAGAATTGTGCTAAAATACATTCCTGAAACAATTTAAATGAACAAACGATTTATTGCAAGAATTATTCAATATTTTGTTGCAGTATTATTCAATATTTAATTCATTATTTACTCACCTGGAATATTGCGCCTTGGCAGTTGACTCCCAGGAAATTTTTTGAATCGGTAAGAATGTAACTACTTGTTTATTTCCGTAATAGAATAATCTCTTGAAATAGATTTATCTTCAGTGACTGCTTTGAGACAGTGATTGTTTTCAGGAAATACTATACGTGCAACGCTTGAGATACAATAATATTTAAATATCCAACGTTCGTAAATTTGTGCAAATCTTTCTTCAGTTTGACTTTGATGGAATCCTCTAAAATATCCTAACTTTGTAACCTTTTAAACCGCTGAAGACTGAGGTAATCTTCGCAATGAAATCCGTAGGCGCGGCAGCGGCACAGGTAGTCGCGGCGGTGGCTGGAGGCCAAGTGACGCGGCGGCAGGAGGGCGGCCGGGGCACGGCAGGCGAGCCGGCCACGCCCAGACCAGCGCCTACGCATACCCGTCGCCCTGCTTTGTCTTGCGCCTATGTGCCCTGACGCTGGGCTGGGTGTGCAATTCCAAGCTTTTATTAAAATTAAAGAGATTAATGTTGCGCTGGAAGCATTATGTGTCGTGTTAAAAGAATTTATGTTGAAGTTTAAGCTGGGGAAACATTTTCAGTCGCAAATTAGTCAAATTACGAAGATAATCCGTGCTGAAAAAACAAGAGGCGTTAAACTACAACGATTGACGTCATGGCTGCAGCATTAACGGCGTTTTTGCGTTAATAATTTAACAGCACGAGTCACACGTCTAAAATGATTTTGTTATTTGCGGAGAATAAAATGCTTGTCGCTCAATTTTTATTCTTAATTTCCTTAGAGATTCTCAAATTGAAATAAAAAACGTTATCCTTTGAATAAAGTAAAATGCCACTTTAAAACGAAAATTGTCAGTTCTTTAATTACGAATCTTACAGAAATTTTTGTAAAAAATAATGGCAATCAAAGAAACATTTTTGAATCGTCGCGTTAACTCGAGTAACAAAGCAATTAGCGAGACGATTATAACGAATTATTTTCTAACTTTCATATCGATATCTAATTTTATTGTGAGCGACATTTTAAACTCGCGGGACAAGAAGCACGGAGCTCATCGTGAGCTCGGGTCACGCTCGCACTCTCGCGAGTAATTTCATCAAAAACGGTAATTCTTGCCGAGGATTTTGGTATATTTCCAGCTTTGGCTTCGGGAGTTCTGGAAGATTTCATATCGCCAGAAGCGGTGAGTGGAGAATTGTGAAATCTTCATTGGAAATTTATTGACCTTGTAAAGCAAAAAGTTATTTTTTAGCGACCGTTTGAATTCTGATGCTTTATATAAATCCTCAAATATCATGAACATGACAAAGAGAATTTCTGGCATGAAGTTAACTCATCCAAATATCCAGCAAAAAAACACGTCGTGTGACGATACATAAGCTTAGCGACTGGTAAGAAGACTGCATGTGTTTTGATGCTACATTATTTTTACGGCTGGTATGAAAACTTTATTTCTTTATTAGTTACATTATCTTCATATGAAGACTGAATGTCTTCAGATGGTACATCATCTTTAAGACTGGTATGATGACTGCATTTCTTTAGATGGTACGTCGTCTTTACTACCTGAAGACCACTCGCCAAGAGACGTCAACAATACGCTGGAAGTACGTGGCTTTCTAAATGAATCAAATTACTTGCCGAAATTCCTGGGGCCGTATTTTCAGAATTCACTAAGTGAACGTAAGTACTTACGCTCTATCTTCTGGTCTATGATTGGTGGATTTTGCTTGAAAGGCCGTCAATGATTGGCTGATGAACTTACTATCTCTTAACTTTTTTCGAAAGAATGGGCCCTGGAACAGAAGCTGAGAAGTAGGTAAGATATGCGGATTCCAACTTAACGACTGAAAAATTAATGTATTCATTGTAATTAACGAATCTTCTGTCAAGATGCACTGAGGAGACCAAAACTACTCTCAGTCACTCATACTGCTTAAATTGTATGCTGAGTAGCTTGTCTACATCACACTTCATTTCCCCAAAAACTTTCATCGACTTTATGGTCGTATTCCTGCCATAAAATAGGCGCTGATATATGAATCAGGTCTCCCACATCATAATACGTGAGGCATATAATCTATTTGAATTCCAGTCCCACAAATTTTACTCAAAGTATATTTACAAATTTTCCAAAGTATATTTACAAGTACGTCATCTCCAAAATTCAGTCTGTTCTTGACTCCAACTATACTTTTTTAAACTCTGCTATAATCTTATCCTGTATGCATTGTTCTGGAAATCACCAATGATTCCATTCGGATAAAATTTATTCCAAACGTGCATCATCATCAACAAAGCGTAATTTTTCAGCTGAAAGAGTAGCTCCTACTTTGCTATTAACATCAGCAATGCCATGAGACATTAAAGCAAGAATGTAACAGAGTTCTCTGTATCTTTCCCTTAACAAATCATGAATATTTCTGCCATCGAAAATATTCATCGAAACCCGCCGACTACTAAGTAATTGATGCTCTTTCGGTGGAGTATCTATTGCATTTGAGTAGCAACATGAGCATCACATCCTAAGCAAGTCACGTTCTCACGCCCGAGTTCGCATTACCCTCGCTTGAGGCCAAAAAATGGCAAGTAATTCTTGTCGAAGCGTCGCGCCTTGTATCGTTGAGCAGGGTAGTGCAAAAACCGAAAGTGCGTGGTGCAGAATATTGGGTGCCTGTAAAGAAAAAAGTGTGAAATTCTTTTTTATGATCTGCATTTTTGAAAATAATAAATTTTCCTGATTCATTAGCAGTTTTATTTATCGCACTTAATGTAGACGTAATTTTTATTCTAAGAAATGTATGAACGCGGAGTCCGCTGATTGCAAGCAGCTCTGTTACATTGCAATAGTGCGTACTCCATTTGCTCATCCGAACAATTTGTAGTTGCCTATTTTCAAAATATTTATTGACTTACAAGAATTAAATTTCATTATGGAATGGAACTTCCGTATTTCAAGTAACGGTAGAGCTTACAACCTGGTTCTTCGTGGTTTTGGGGATGCATTTTTTGTGCTTAGAGAGAAACTACACAGGTATATATTAATTGTATAGAAACAATTTCTCTCAAATCCTGCTAGCCAACAAACTCTAAAATTTTCTAACCTCTTCATCCGTGAACGACAACTTACATGACAAACTTATTCAACGAGTTTATTTGGCAAAATCAAAACAGAATGCAAGTCTGAAAATGACGGCACTGAAGGAACAAGCGTTCAATAGAATTTTTCTTCACCGGCCAGCTATTTCGATTTGTTTTGCACCAAAAACTTCCGGCAGACCAGCGAAAGTTTAGAATTTGAAACGAAATGTTCACGTTTACTCTGTCTCACTGGGAGCAAACAAAACATCGGCGTTTAAATCTCCTGATTTAAAGGTAAGACGAATAAAATAGATACAACTATTACTATGGTAATCATGGTCCTTGAGCTCTGTTAAGATTATTGCTACAAATCATCATTTCGGTAGATTTTATTTATTACAAAAAATTTACCAATTTAATTAAAAATTCAACCTGAATTTAGTCAACTTTATTCCGAAAACTTTTCCGCACAACTCTTCTCCATTTATTGGCGCTACACAATTTCAAAAATGGTCTTTTTCAGGAGTAGTTCATCACCAGATCAGTGATATGAATCTTGCTTAGCTCGGTAGAAAAACAAGGGGAGCATCGAACGTCGGGGCAAATCGAAATCGAAGACAGCGCCATTTTTTTGGCCAACGAAAAGTTCGAGAGAATTTAGAGGCAGCAAAAGAGAGAAACACGATCATTCTTTGGCGGCAGGAATTGCTCTCTATCACGCATTAATCGGTCGGCTGAGTATAAGGCTGAAAAATATTACGATTGTCCACAAAATGAATATTATTATCAGCGCAGATTACTCAGAATTTTCGCATAATTTAAAAAATTTTAATTTAAAACTGGATTAATCGTGATTTTTATTTCTCTCGCCATAACTTCTTTTTCAGATAGAAAATTCTAAATTTGAAGGATTCTCAGTCGTTAGCAGAAAGTTTATCGTATTTATTTTGTGTGTTAACAATATGAATACATAAATAAATTTCAGTCATTGAAGAACTGTCTTTTGAATCTGCCTCTGGGTTAGAATAATTGTATGTTCCAGCTTTGGGCACCCAAAGATGTGTGCTGCAAATTTCAGAGAACGAGCTACAAGCGTCAATAATGTTTAGAGATTACTTTGGAATTTCTAATTTAAATACACGAGATTAAGTCGTTTCTGGATAAATACAGAGTTATTTATAAGAAAATTCTCTAGGCAGGGAATCTCTGCAGTATTAAATGTATTGTTTCTTCTTTACAATATAACTCATGAGATAATTTTAAAATTTGAAATAATTTTATCATAAGTTGGTAGTAATCACAAAAGCCATTATTTTAAACGTCTCATTATTTCACACACAACTTTTTTAACCTTTTGCCTTAGTTTCAGCTGCTGCACTTTAGGAAACGTGTACACGATTACGATAGTCGGTTAACATTCTTCCGCAGTGTGATATGTAAAACAAAGAAGATCTTATTACTTCTCATTTGAAAAATTTCAACTGTTCCTTTGCATTCGACAACAAGAGTTTTTCTCAATTTGTATTTATCATATTCTTGGGAACGAGTTGACACATTTGCATTCAATGTAGCATGATTTTGATTTCCACAGTATTGTAGTCCCTCAGGAAGTTAGTTAAAAGTCAGGTCCCAATTCCGTAGATTTATTTACACGTCAATCAACCCTGCATGAGTTCTATAATAGATTTTACACGATAATATTTCCGCTCCTTAACTTCTATTAAGGAGCGGAATTGTCGTGGCTTGGACACATGTTTACGTATCCGTGTCTATTTCTATTTTGTCGTGGCTCGGACAATCAACTCAAAACTTTCTAAAACTGAAGTCGAGCTCTGAACTTCCCATCTCACAAGCATTGCGAAGATCTAAACTAGCGGCAAACAGGCTTCATCTGTGCGCTAACAATTATAAACCTGCCCTGGTTTTTAATTATTCATTGCACATTGAATATCCTGCCCTCAAAGCTTAATATGTAACTTTGTAGTTTTAGACCCATGCATTCAATTCATTTTCAGTCTATATACATCGTACACATTCCGAACAGCATTTATTATTTTGTTTTTGAACCAAATTCCATTTCATTTAATTACAAAACATTACCATGATGAAACGGAAACCATTTTACACAAAAATATCCTGACACAATCTCAAATCTTTATTTTGAGTAAGCTATTGTTATGAAATATTTAATTGCCCATTTAATAAGAGCTTAAATTCGTTGTGCAAAAATATCACCTAACTTGGTAACAAC